TTTTTATGCAAAAAGGGTGTTTCTTCCTGGTCAATAATTAAATGCCTTTGCAGAGCTTCCCCTATTCCCGTATTCCCAACAGAACTGTCTAACTTAAATGTCTCATGTGGTTTTGGGTGTATTTGGATTACATCATGCTAATCTTCCATTTCGGGATCGAAGAAAGTGTAAAAATCGGAATGTAAGGTGACCACCTCCTTCACTTCAGACTCACTGGAATGCTCAAATCAGTATAGGAACCTTACTAGGTAGTTCCACCAGACTCAGAAGTTAAGGTGAGTAACCCAAGATAGGACATTTCTCTCTTTCATATCTTCTCATCCTGTAAATAGTTCTTGCCAACTTAAGGAATTCATTCTAAATTTCAATCTAATTCACCCCAGCTCAAGCTCTCCTAAATGCTACTCCTTTCTTTGTTGGTGGATCTGGGCAAGATTCTGCTCCTTCCAAGCTGCAGAGTTTCCCGTTAGATATAACTTGTATAGAGCCAGGAGCTGTTTTCATTTGATGGAGAATGGAAGGCTAAAACGATTTTTCGTTTATTCATTTATTTGCAGTTGGCCAGCAAAGGACACCTCACCAGTCCTGTCCATCTTGTTTGCAACCCAGGTGATCAACCAACATCTTAAGCATTTAGCCAATGTCACTCTGGGCTATAGCATCTATGAGGCCGCTTTTGATGTCAGAACAACTGCCGATGCCATGCTAGAAAGTATTCCAAACTACAGCTGTGAAAGACAGAATAAAGTGTTGGCTGTTTTTGAAGCAACTTCTTCTGAAATCCCCAGCCAGATTTCAAGCATGTTGGGCATCTACAAAATGCCCCAGGTAGGAATTGGAAGGGAAGAGATCAGTTATGTTTCATTCCTCTTTGCTGTCTCTCCAACAGTAGTGAGGAAACTCTTCATGCCCCCAGAAGTTTCTAAACTGCAAAGCCAACCATTCTGTCAATTAGTCATGCTTTTGCAGACTGATGGGATTTCTACTTCAGCAATATTCTAAGGGCCAATTTTTCCAAGGAACACAAAAGAAAAGCACCCAAAAAGAGAGACTAGGGGGGAAGGAATCACATTTTTAGAATGTGGAAAGCAATTTAGAAAACCCTCAGCCACTTCCTGTCTCCCTCCCCAGACTGTCAATAGGAAGATGTAGTTGACAGTAGCCCCTGGCTCCTAATGAGTTCTTGTTTCTCAGGAAGACCAGTGGCAGCTAACTGAACACAGAGGTTTAGGTGCTTGCACTCCTCCAGATTGTATAGATGCTTAGCAGTGCTATTTCTGGGGGGACGCAGGGAGACGCATACCCCTAAACATTTTGTGAAACTACCAGGAGAAGAAACTACAAATGTTTAGTTTCTTCTCTAGCATTGTAAATCCTCAGTTCCATTGAATAGCATCGTGAATCATCACTTCCGTTGCTACCCCCTATGGCGGCTTCCTTTCCCTTCCCAGTGTTTCCTGAGTATAAGATGGAAGCGAGAGTACCCCTAAACATATTTTTTTAGAAAAAAAGCACTGCTGTTTAGCATCTGCCTCTCATTCTTTGCATTGTGACTCTAGGAAGAGTTTGGGGTACCATGACCCCTGAAGGCCCCAGATGCCCTGGTCTGTCTCAGTGTCCATTGGAGCCACTTCCTTCTCTGTAAGCTCCAGGTCCTCCACTGAGCAGGATTCCTCCATCAGAGGCATGGCATGCATCCCATAAGCCTCTGGTTAGCTACTGTGAGAAGATTGGCCTTTGGCCTGATCATGCAGTGAGGCCTTTCTTGTGTATTCCTGAAACCCTGACACCAATCCTTTTCATACTAGATCAGTTTTGGCTCAGCTGCTCATGATCTGAACGACAAAACCCAGTTCCCTTTTATCTACCGGATAGTCCCCAAAGAAGAAACACAGTACATGGGGATTGTCAAGTTGTTGTTGCATTTCGGGTGGAAGTGGATCGGTCTCTTTGTTCCAGACAATGACAATGGAGAAAGGTTCCTAAGAGCCTTCACCCTTCTGCTGATCCGGAGTGAGATTTGTGTTGCTTTCTTGGAAAAAATTAATCTTCTGAAACTCTCATACTTGCATTTTAATGTATCTGCCTTGAGACAAGTCAAGGTGTTTGTTTATTATGGGGACTCTGAACACAGAATTTATCCAATCATGATGTTACAAAGAATTCATGAAGTGAGGAAAACTCAAGGGGTAGTCTGGATCACAACAGATCTTCTGGACATTGATGAGATGTTGTTTGGTGGCACAGATTACTTCCAGCCTGCCCAAGGTTCTTTGTCCTTTGTAATGAATACCAAAAAACGGACAGAACATGGCTACTATACTCGACTTTCAGATGCAACTGCATCTGTATTTTCACAGTTTTGGAAGAAAGCATTCCATTGTTCATGTTCAAACAAAGTACTATCCGTGGAGGGTTGGACAAGATGCACAGAAAAGGAACCACTGGAAACTTTGTCCCAGAAGGAGATGGGGGCAATCTGGTCTCAAGACCGCTACAGCACTTACTACGGCGCTCAGTTTGTGGCCCAAGCCTTAAATGTTGCATATTCATCCAGATCCAAATGGATGTTAATGGCGGGTGGAGGAGACAGATTGGAACTTCAAAGACTGCAGCCATGGCAGGTCTCCCCTCTTCCCTTTTTTGTAAATACCTTCTGGAATCCGTTTCAGATTGTATATTCTTTGTAGTTTACCTCATTGTTATTGTTAAATATGTTTAGGTTTCCTATGCCCTGTCTTTAGTAGGACATGTTAATAAGTTTTTTTTAATTGTTCATCTATTTTTGTGGTTCTAATATACTTTGAAAATTGATTAAAATAAAAAAAATTTAATAGATAATTTGGGAAAGGTAGGGGGAATCTTTCAAAGCACAAAATAAGCTATGAAAAATTCTTAAGGAGCATTCTCTTACATAGAGTTTAATTAATTCATTAATTAATTAATTAATTACTATATTTAGTTCATAACATTTATATACAGTATTACTTGACTCCTGAAAAAAACCTCAAACCACTTTACAAAAAAGTTAAAATGAAAAAAATTTCACTAAAGAAAACCCTTATTTAAAACACAGAAAGTTGAAATCACAATAGGATCGGTTAAAGCCAATTAAAAGCCTTGTTAGCTTTCTACAGTTGCCAAGTGCTTGCTAGGATGTGTCCTCTATTTGTGTTTATTTGAGTCATATTTCCTGTGAATTTATAACCTGATAAAAGACCAGTTGTAATGAGGCATCTGATCAAGGCCTGTATTTTAAAATGAGCTTAAAAATATATTTGCAAATGTTTGTATGTTTCATGCCAGGCAGAAAAGCAGCTGGCTAAGTACTTTGGCAGTTGTTTATCCTCTTGAACAGGGCCCCCCCTGATTTATAGCAGTACCTCAAAGTTGTAAAAGGGAATTACAGGCTGGGAGCAAAGGTCATACTGACCATACATATTACAGAATACAATCAAGCTGCAAAAACACTAATTAAGAGTTGGTAAATAGTAAGATTTATTGTTTAACAGAAAATAATACCATGTGCCTCCCATCAGACTCTAGTCATATTTTCCTAAGGTTAAAGGGCAAGAGCTAATGGGGAAAGCAGCTGGCTGGGAAAGGGAGTTGTAAATTGAAGAGGTTGCTTTTGAAGCTGTTTACTGAGTTCCTTTTTTTTACTTTGAAAAGGCCTTTTCTTCTAAAAAGCTATATATGTTAATGTATGAGATTTGTTGGCTTAAATGTAATTATGCAAAGGATTTAGAAAGTAAGAAATGTTAGATTCTTATGTTAGATTCTTATGTTAGATTCTTATTTCATTGATGGTGTGTGTGAAGGTGAACCCAAGATCTCTGTTTAAGAAAAGATTTTAAACCATGAGCCATCTGTTTTAGCCATTTGTTTTGGAGTGGAGGGGCAACAGGGCAAAAGGTGATCTGGTAATCAAGGTGCCTTGTCGAGGCAAATGTAAGATATATGGCTACTTGTCTGCCATTTATGGATAGAAGGAAATATAGCTCTTTGTCTCCCATAAAAGGTAATAGGAAATGGGTGTATCTTTTATGATTGGTTCTAGCAAACAGCCAATAGGAATTTCAACCAGGCTGATTGGACAGAGGCAGCCAAAGGAGGAGCAAGGGGGCTGGGCTGAGGAAATATAAGTGCTGGCCAACAGGGCTGGAGTGGGCAGAGCTTTGGTAACCATATACCACTGTGTTTCTCATTTATTTGTCTGACAAATAAATTATTATTTTAATTTCTCTATTGCTGCATTGAATATTTCATTCCAGCTAAGCGTTAACCACAAGCAGGGTGCTACAGTAATGACCAAAAGGTTGTTATCTTTAGCTGACACGAGGCCTCAGTGTCCTTGATTTAGGACCATTCTCTCAAAACTGGAAAGATGTCTGGAACCTTACTCAATTATCTAAGAAAAACAAGACTACGCCCAACAAAATATCCAAAGTCATGAAAAGCTTTGCTCAATCATATACCCAGAAATATCCTGCAATTATTTTGTTTAAACATAATTTACTCTCATCTCTTATGGAGTTTGCACACAAGCCTTCTGTTTTCTCACAAAATCCGGATATCATGTTTTCTAAAGCTGGTGTTTTCTCTGCCATTCTAGCTTCACACTTTCTTGAAAGAAGTTTGGCTTTCCAATTCATCCATAGGAGGGATGTATTCTGATCAGAATGGGGAGCTGACTGCCAACTTTGATATCGTGAACTGGGTTGTATTTCCCAATAGATCTCAGAGCAGAAAGAAAGTTGGGAGCATCGAGGGACAGGCATCCTCCGGCATAAAATTCTCCATTAAACCAGAAGCCATTATGTGGCCTGGGAAATTCAGCAAGGTCATTGAATTCATTCATTTGTGTGTTTATTTGTTGCACTTATATCCCACCTTTTCTCTATGGAGCTTCAATAAATCTCAAATGCAGTTTAAAAAGCCATAGTTTGTTTAATCCTTTGTGTTCAACAATATTTGCGTTCAACAATTAAAAATGAAACTTTATGTCAGAAAGAAAATGAGTTCTCCACAGTTCTACCAAATTTGGAAGAGTCTCACTCCCATTTTAAAGCTTTCTAACCTGGTCTCAGTATTCTAAAAATGATTTTTATTTGAGCACGTTTTTAGTCAGAGCCTTCATATGATGTCTGTGCTTTATGCTGATCTCCTTGGGTGCTCCTTTTCTTAGTTTTTAGGTGGTGCCTCATTCAAGATGCACCGAAAGCTGTCGCCCTGGATATGCCAGAGTGGCTAAAGAAGGGGAGGCCGTTTGCTGCTACGATTGTGCTCCTTGTGCAGAAGGGACCATCTCCGTTCAGGAAGGTGGGTGACTCCAGAAGAAAGGGAGAGGCCAGATTTCGTGGGATTCCAGGGGTCACACAGGGTTCGTGCTCCTTTGGAGAACTGAAGACTCAGGGGAGACTGCTGTATCTTTAAGAAATATGATTTATTCACATATTTACACCTTCAGTCTGCATGGAGGAAGTCCAGATCTTAGCACATGATCAAGAGCGACTTGTTTACTATAGCAGTGCCGCACATCGGCTGGGTGAGGACTGCAGGGCCTGCTCCCTTCCAGGGCCTTTTCCAACTGGCCCAGGGGGCGTGGCCCAGGCCCTTATTTGGAACAAACTTTTGAGGAAGTGTGGGAAGTGTTCTGCCATTGCTTCCCTGTTCCAGGTGGTTAATGTGCTTTAAAATGTCCTCAAGCAGTCGGTGGCAATTTAAATTTTTATTTCTTTTTTTCCTTTTCCTTTGTTGGGGGTGGGTGGGTGGGATGGATATTTGGTTGGGGATTAATTTTAGTATAATTGTTCTGTTCCTTTTGTTGTTGTTGTTGTTTTATTGGTTCTGTATAGTTTGTGTTTTGTTTTAAGGGGCGGGATCAGGGCTGCCTGGGAGTGGGGCCCCAGCCAACACAATGACTGGGACAAGTTCCACAGGGGGGGTGGGAAGCACTGGGACATCCGATCTCGGTGATCATGGGCAGGAGGCGGAGTTACGCTAAGACCAGACCATGTCATTACCGAGGAGGCAGGTTTACTCGTAGTTTGAAGTCTATCCCTGCCTCCGGGTCTGGCCTTGACCAGATGGATACTGGAATCAACAGGGGAAACCCACATGACCTGAAGGTGTTGCTGTGTAATGCCAGGTCAATGATGAATAAAACCACTGCCATCCACGACCTGATTGTGGATGGAGGATTTGACCTGGCATGTGTGACAGAGACCTGGTTGGAGGAAGCAGATGAGCCTGTCCTTGCCGCTGCTTGCCCACCAGGTTTCTCTTACGCACAGCAACCCAGGTCATGTGGGCAGGGGGGGGGTTGCAGTGATTTTTAGGAAGTCACTAGCTTGCACCAGGCGTCCTACTGGGAAGATCCAGTTTTCTGAGTGCATGTTCTGGAAGTTGGGCAATAGGGGCAGTACAGGATTCCTTTTGGTGTACCGACCTCCCCGCTGCACCAAGGATTCCCTGTCCGAGCTGCTTCAGGTCGTGGCGGATTTTCTCCTGGAGACACCTAGTTTGGTTGTCCTAGGGGATTTTAACATCCATGCCGACACGACCTTACAAGGGGCTGCTCGGGACTTCATGGAAAGCATGGCCTCCATGGGGCTGTCCCTGAATAAGTTTGGCCCAACTCATAGTCATGGACATGCCTTAGACCTGGTGTTCACCTCTAGTGACGTGGGTGATCTGACACTAAGTAAAAGTGCCATGGTCAGATCACTTCCTGGTGCAACTGGACTTCTCCGCGACCCTTCCCCTCTGCAGGGAGGTGGGACCAATTCAGATGGTCCGCCCCCCGCCACTTAATGGATCCAAATGGTTTCCAGAGAGTGGTAGGGGATGCTTTATCCCATGTTGATGGCCTTTCAGCTGATTCCCTGGTGGCCCGCTGGAATGTGGAGTTAACCAGGGCTATCGACTGTCTGGCTCCGAAGCGCCCTCTCCGATTGCATGGAGCCCGGGCAGCCCCGTGGTTTTCTTCGGAGCTGAGGGCGATGAAACAATCGCTGAGACGGCTAGAGCATCGGTGGCAGAAAACTCACTCCGAATCTGACCGGACACAGGTTAGAGCTCAACGTCGAGCCTACCAAGTGGCGATAGCGACGGCGAAGAAGACTTTCTTAACCGTCTCTATTGCATCTGCAGAAAATAGTAGCAGGAGACTCTTTCAGGTGGTTTGCAATTTAACGGAACCACCTTTACCACTGGGGCCTTGTAAAGACCCCAAGATCTCCTGCAACGATTTTGCAAAGTTTTTTGAAGATAAAATCACTCATATTCTGAAGGAGCTAGACACCACCGTGGGAGCAGGGCTGGGGCGGGAGAGTGCTAGAGCTCTGTCTGGTCAAGTTGCATGGAATCAATTTCAATCCATTACCCCCGAGGATGTGGACAGGCTGCTTGGACGCGTGAAACCAACCACCTGTCTCCTTGATCCTTGCCCATCCTGGCTAATAAAAGCAAGCCGGGAAGGGCTGGGCGATGGGCTCTGCGGGGTGGTGAATGCTTCCCTCTGTGAGGGAACATTCCCAGATCCGCTGAAAGAGGCGGTCATTAAACCGCTCCTAAAAAACCATCTTTAGACCTGGCCAGTAGGGCCAACTATCGCCCAGTCTCAAATCTTCCATTCTTGGGCAAGGTGATTGAGCGTGTGGTTGCTGAACAACTCCAGGCACGCCTGGAGGATGCGGACCATTTGGATCCCTTCCAATCAGGATTCAGGCCTCACCATGGGACTGAAACTGCCTTGGTCGCGCTGGTTGATGATCTCCGGCGAGCTAGGGACAAAGGTGAGAGTTGTTTCCTGGTTCTGCTGGATCTCTCAGCGGCCTTTGATACAATCGACCATAACATCCTTCTGGACCGTCTAGAGGGGCTGGGAGCTGGGGGCACTGTTATACAGTGGTTTCGCTCCTTCCTCCTGGGCCGTGTTCAGAAAGTGGTGGTGGGGGATGAGTGTTCAGACCCCTGGGCCCTCACTTGTGGGGTGCCTCAGGGTTCCGTCCTAACCCCCATGCTTTTTAACATCTATATGAAGCCGCTGGGAGAAATCATCAGGGGGTTTGGACTGGGTGTCCATCAATATGCAGATGATACCCAGCTCTACCTCTCTTTCAAATCAGAACCAGTGAAGGCGGTGAAGGTCCTGTGTGAGTGCCTGGAGGCGGTTGGAGGATGGATGGCGGCTAATGGATTGAAGTTGAATCCTGACAAGACAGAATACTGTTTTGGGGGGACAGGGGGCAGGCTGGTGTGGAGGACTCCCTGGTCCTGAATAGGGTAACTGTGCCCCTGAAGGACCAGGTGCGCAGCCTGGGAGTCATTTTGGACTCACAGCTGTCCATGGAGGCGCAGGTCAATTCTGTATCCAGGGCAGCTGTCTACCAACTCCACCTGGTACGCAGGCTGAGACCCTACCTGCCCGCGGACTGTCTCGCCAGAGTGGTGCATGCTCTAGTTATCTCCCGCTTGGACTACTGCAATGCGCTCTACGTGGGGCTACCTTTGAAGGTGACTCGGAAACTACAACTAATCCAGAATGTGGCAGCTAGAATGGTGACTGGGGGCGGCCGCCGAGACCACATAACACCGGTCCTGAAAGACCTACATTGGCTCCCAGTACGTATCCGAGCACAATTCAAAGTTCTGGTGTTGACCTTTAAAGCCCTAAATGGCCTCGGCCCAGAATACCTGAAGGAGCGATTCCACCCTCACCGTTCTGCCCGGAAGCTGAGGTCCAGCGCCGAGGGCCTTCTGGCGGTTCCCTCATTGCAAGAAGCAAAGCTACAGGGAACCAGGCAGAGGGCCTTCTCGGTAGTGGCACCTGCCCTGTGGAACGCCCTCCCATCAGATGTCAAAGCGATAAATAACTACCTGACATTCAGAAGACATCTTAAGGCAGCCCTGTTCAGGCAAGTTTTTAATCTGTGATATTTTAGTGTATTTTTGGTTTCTATGGAAGCCGCCCAGAGTGGCTGGGGAAACCCAGCCAGATGGGCAGGGTATAAATAATAAATAATTATTATTATTATTATTATTACTTGAGTGGAAGAAATCTCTCCCAACCAATCTTCAGCCAGCCTAGCCAAAATGGCTACCTCCTTGTTCTCTGCCATATTCTTCCCAGCACACCTTGCTAAAGACTGTATTTTCCTGACACCTCAAACGCACAATCCATCACCATGGCAACCTCTGTCAGAAAACAGACAGGTATGGATGTAAGAGTTTTGTTAGTAATTCTGAAGTCATTCTTCTTCTCTTCAGATGCAAAGATTTGCACCAGATGCCCAGAAGATCAGCATGCAAATCAAGCGCGAAACAAATGTGTCCCCAAGACTATAACATTTCTCACTTATGAAGAACCCTTGGGGATTGTGCTGGTTTCCTTTGCTCTCTTCTTGTCCTTGACCACTGGCATTGTGAAAGGAATCTTCGTTAAATACAAGGAAACTCCCATAGTCAAAGCTAACAATCGAGACTTATCCTATATACTCCTCAGCTCCCTCCTGCTTTCCTTTTTGTCCTCCTTCCTGTTCATCGGCCGGCCAAAGAAAGTGACCTGCCTTCTCCGACAAACAGCCTTCAGCATCATCTTCTCAGTTGCCGTCTCTTCTGTTTTGGCAAAAACCATCACTGTGGTGCTGGCCTTCCTGGCCACAAAGCCAGGGAACAAGGTGAGGAGATGGCTGGGGAAGAGTCTGACCAACTCCATTGTCCTTTCCTGTTCCAGTATACAGGTTGTCATCTGCAGCACCTGGCTGGGAATCTCCCCACCCTTCCCAGACTCCGACATGCACTCCCAAGCTGCAGAGATCATCCTTCTATGCAATGAGGGATCTGTTGCCATGTTCTACACTGTCCTTGGCTACATGGGCTTCCTGGCTGCCATCTGCTTCACTGTGGCTTTCCTAGCCAGAAAGCTTCCCGGGTCCTTCAATGAAGCCAAGCTGATCAGCTTCAGCATGCTGGTCTTCTGCAGTGTTTGGGTGTCCTTTGTGCCTACCTACCTGAGCACAAAGGGGAAGTACATGGTGGCCGTGCAGGTCTTCTCTATGTTGGCCTCCAGTGCTGGGCTTCTGGGCTGCATCTTCCTTCCCAAGTGCTACATTATCATCCTCAGGCCTGATCTGAACACAAAGGCACATCTAACTACAAAAAGTGAAGGTGGTAGTTTCTAATTCTTAACTTCTTTGAAGATTCTTGGCTTCACATAAAATACAATGTTGTTAACATGGACCAAACATTGCCGTTAGGATGCTGTCCGCAGCTTCCAGCTGGTTGCCCAGGAAAGTATAAAGACTTTGGTCATCTTGGTCTTCCTTTAACAGCACAGCACCAACCGCTCTGTCAAAGGTTTATTTGACCAACACCCTGTGGGGGTCTGCATAAGCTAGGTACACCTCTGAGGAGAACAAGGTTTTGTGATGCTCAAATGCCTGTTGTGCCTCAGCTGTCTACTGGAACAGCTTCTTGCCCCATCAAGCAATCCGTGAGGGGTGTAGTGAATCTCGAATAGGCTGACATGAACTGGTGGTAATATTTGGCCAATGCTAAAAACCTCTGCAGGTCTTTCTTTGTCTTGGGCTCCTGCCGCGAAACTACGCTCCGCACCTTGGCTGGATCCATATGCAGCCCCTCAGTTGTGAGCTGATACCCCAGGAAATCTTTGCAAATTCTCGTTTTTGTTGATTTATTGTGCTGGTTAATTGTTCTATGTGTGATCTTAACAATAAATTTTGTTGTAAAAGCCATTTAAATGGTTCTTCTCGGTTATCAGTGTTGGCTGCCTGCCCCGTGGCTCCTGCTACGCCATCTGTCATGATTTATGACCTAACAGCCAATTAAAGTTGACTCGGGACCATTTGTCAGGATGCTGTCAGCAGCTTCTGGCTGGTTGCCCAGGAAAGCAAAAAGAAAAGGAAAGGTTTCTTACCGTCCTTTTTTATTTCAATTTTTACAGAGAGAGAACTCAGCCTCTTAGATAATGGTGTTGTCCGGAGTGACTTTCCACCCTTGCCTCTCCCACATCCTCATTCGTCACTTCTACAGGTGTTGCTACGCACCCTCTGTCTTTGAGCTCTTTGCTCTCCTACTTTTAAGGCTTGCCAGGTTCTAGGAAATGGAGGGTCTTAGTTGCTTTCTAATGACATTGTATCAACCAGCTGCCACTCCACTTCTGCCGCTTCCTCCTTGTCTCCCATTATTTCCCAACTTTTCCCCTCATTTGCCTCTGAGCTGTGACCTCCCACAAACCACTGCTATAAATCTATACTGTCTTCCTCTTCACTGGAAGAGTCAAGATGGGAAGGCATTCTCCACCATTCCTCCTCTGCCCAGTCCCTGACACGTGGTTTATGGCAGGAAAATTGCAGAAGCTCTAAATTCATAAAATCATTCTTCACAAATGTCTTGCCAGAAAGAAAAAAATAGGTGGTTTGTTTTCAAATATAAAGTGGTAATATTCAAAAATAAATGTTATTTTCCACCTTAGTGTAGGTTCTGCTTCATTTTGAAATATCAGTCTTTATTTTACAGTTTATTAGTGTTTATTTTCTGAATTAGATACACATGGGGACACCAAGATCTTTTAAGTGCTTGATCCGGCTGTAAACTTTGGTAAAAGATACCATAGCCCCCATGTTTTACCTTTTCATCATCTGCCACGAATACCCAAAGCGTTAAGCCTGGATCTGACTCTTAACTGTCTCTTACTTTGCTGGGGTTTGAAGCTCATTCTGTCTGTGACATCATACACTGATGTCACAATGATACATCTGCATTCATCCATGGTAATGTCACTGGCCAATGTCACTCCTGCAACTAGGTCACCAGCAGCCTGGCTCTCCAGCAAGCTTAATGTTTTAGTTCATAGCCTGAGCATGAAGAAGACCATAGAGATCATCAGGAGGGTTGGGCTGTGTGTTGACCAATATGCGGATGATACAGAGCTCTACCTCTCTTTTAAATCGGAACCAGTGAAGGGGGTGAAGGTCCTGTGTGAGTGTCTGAAGATGGTTGGAGGATGTATGGTAGCCAACGGATTGAGCTCCATCTGGTAGGCCGTCTGAGACCCTACCTGCCCACAGACTGTGTCACCAGAGTAGTGCATGCTCTAGTTATCTCCCACTTGGACAACTGCATTCAGGTAGGTAGCCGTGTTGGTCTAACGCAGTTGAAATAAAATAAAATAAAAATGTCCAGTAGCACCTTAGAGACCAACTAAGTTTGTTTCGGGTATAAGCTTTCGTGTGCATGCACACCTCTTGAGATACCTACTAAAGTGGACTACTGCAATGCACTCTGTGACCTTTGAAGGTGACCCAGAAGCTACAACTAATCCAGAATGTGGCAGCTAGACTTGTGACTGGGGGTGGCCGCTGGGACCATATAACCTAAAGGATCTTCACTGGCTCGCAGTACATTTCCGAGCACAATTCATAGTGTTGTTACTGACCTTTAAAGCCCTCAACAGCCTCAGCCCAGTATACCTGAAGGAGCATCTCCACCCCCATTGCTCAAGGTCCTCCTACGAGGGTCTTCTGGCAGTCCCCTCACTGCGAGAAGTGAAGTTACAGGGAAACAAGCAGAGGGCCTTCTTGGTAGTGGCACCCACCCTGTGGAACGCCCTCATTTCAGATGTCAAGGAGATAAAGAACTCTATAGCTTTTAGAAGACATCTGAAGGCAGCCCTGTATCAGGAAGTTTTTTATGTTTGATGTTTTACGATGCTTTTATATATGCTGTGAGCCACCCACAGAGGCTGGGGTAATCCAGCCAGATGGGTAGGGTATCAATATTAAAATTGTTGTTCCTATTGTTGATGGGTAGTTATCTTTCTGTATACATTCTTTTCGTACCATCCTGGTACGTTCAGTTCACACTGAGTTCACACCATATCAATCTGTACTTATCCTTCTGTGTACATTCCTTTCTTACCACCCTGGAACGTTCAGTGCACACCATATCAATCATGATAAGAAGGCCTGTCTAACTCTGCGTTCCTTTTTCCAACCTTTAACCTATCGATGATTAATGTCTTATATGCAACCCTTGCTTTGTACTTGTGTTAACCAATCAGCAACAAGCACATATGTGGCAATGCTGTAATATTCAATAAAAGGGACTCCCCGACACATGTTGGGAGATGCCTCCCGTATGACACCTACCACTCGTCTGTCGTTTATTTCAACCCAACATCTGGTGACCCCGACGTGATTCCGACGTGCCAGATCCCTTTACGCAGCAACCCCTATACTTCACTCGACTGGAAAAGTCTCAGCGCGCTACTTCGTGAGTATGGGGGGGGACGGGACTTACAAGGTTCCAAAAAGAGCATGCCAAGGAGCTGCTCCATTTAGTCAGACAGAGGGTGGCGGGTGCGCATATTTCTTTGAAAGAAATTGAACAATTGTTAAGTGAGATTGCTTGCCAGTGCCCCTGGTACCCAGAGTCAGGCTCTCTGGGAACAGAAGCTTGGCAAAAGATCGGAACAACCCTCTTCTCAGAACCGAGGGCTCCGATTCATTGTCTGCTCACTTGGCAGAAGTGTGCAGATGCCGTCGCTAGGTTAGGACCTCAGGCATCTCCGGCACCTGCCCTTTTAGCCGCAGCAGACAATCCCCCACCTTACCCAAAGCTTTTGCCTCCATTGCAACCTTCCCTACCCCCCACGCCTCAGCTCACATCCACCCCCCATCCCCCCATCCCTCCCTCCTTCGCCTGCCTCAGCCCCTGTGCGCTCTCCTACAGGAGCTGTGCGCGCCGCTCTTTCTCTGGCTAGGCAGCAAGGAACCCTGTCCTTAGAGGAAGAGACTGAATGGGCTGGTGAAATGCCGTCTGCTTTCCCTATCACCTATGCAAACCCAGGAACTGCTCAACAGCAGGTGATGTACGAGGCGCTTCCTTATTCTATTCTGAGAGAATTAAGGAAAGCCATTACTGATTCTGGCCTAAAATCTTCTTATGTGATAGGGATGCTGGAGGGGATAGCAAATGGTTACACAATGCTACCCCAAGATTGGAAAGATTTAATGCGCATGCTTTTATCCCCGGCTCAGTATGTGGTTTTTGAAAGTGAATTTAAGCATGGCGCAACAGCCCTGGCTGATCCACAACATTCAGCCAATCAACTTTTTGGCGCTGGTCCGTATGATACTATACCAGCCCAGGCGACATTGACACCTTTGCATTTCAGTCGCACCGCGACCTGTGTACAACGCGCCTTTCGGAAAGTCCCTGTCTCAGGGCAGCCGCTAAGCTCCTTCGTTAACGTTTTGATTATAAAATATGCTTTTAGTATTTAAAAAATCAATGAAAACACAATAGTGCTGTTTCATTTATTTTACACCTCCAGTGGGTCTATAATCTCATTAGTTCTTAATTTGCTCCAGAAGCAGAAATACCAGTGGGAAAGCTTCTCCTAGCATGCAAAGACAGTGATGGTGGTGGAAGATATGTTTCCTGCAACTGGCTCCTTTCAGGAAACAGAATGTGTGTTTTGTGTGGAGACACTGTTTAACTATCCAAAGACCAGCTGGACTAACAAGCTCATCAGTTGCATATTCCTGCATTGCAGAAGGTTGGACTAGATGATCCTCAGGATCCCTTCCAACTCAACGATTCGACGATTCTATTGCAAGAAGTGACAGTCCTATCAGAAGATTATAGAGAAACTGAATGCCAGGTTCACCCAGGGATCATCCACAGACACCGGAACATCTGATGATCCTTCAGTCTCTTTTCAGTTTCACGTTTGATAGTTGCAGTGAGTAGCTTTGTACTGTAAGTGGCGAAGAATCTCCTCCAACCCTTTTTCGCTGCAAACGAATAGCCACTTACTGAATTTAACATTTATGTTAATAGCCTTCCTCAGCCCAACTAAATATGATTGAAATTCTTCCAGGGAAGGAGCAATCTTCAAAGTCTATAACAGATTTCTCTGTCCTGACTCTTCCAACATTCAGCTTCATTAGAAGCTGAGTTGAATTGAATCTCTAGTTGGCTGCTAGTATATTACTAAGCTAAAGCCAGATATTATTGCTACTGTATAAATCCAATGGACCAGTCAACTGGTTGGGTTGTCTCATAAACCCGAACTTCTATTAGCTCATGTGAGTATCTCATGGCTTACCTCGGTGTTAGAGACCTCCATTGGATGCCAATGAATCTATAGTTCTGAGGCAGTGTGGTGTAGTAATCAGAGAGTTGGACAGGGGCCTAGGACACAAGGGTTTAAATTCCCACTTAAAGTCCAAACTTCTAGTATTATTACTGGGAAGGAGGAAAACTTTTCCTATCCATATTATCCACACCATGCAGGACTTCATACACCTCTATCAAGTCCTGCCTTGCTGGTCTTGGTCCATCATAGCTATTCTATAGTTCCCTGGACTTGAGAGTCACATCATTGAGTTCTCACAAACACGTTTTGCTTTGGCTATTCTATGGTTTCTTTCTTTCTTTCTTTTAAATAATTTTTATTAGATTTTCCACTTAAATCATATTCACATTTTTTACATACTTCTATAACTTAATATATTACTCTGTAAGAGCATCAACATCCTTCCCTCCCTCTTTCTGACTTCCACATATCTTTCTCTATTTTTCACATTTCTATAATCACTTATTTACCCTTTGTCAAATTATAATATTTCACCTTCTTGTCGGTAAACCAGTTCCTTATATTTACATTACAAAATATTTCAATTCAGGCCTACAAAGGTTTTCAAATGTTTATAATTTTCTTTCACATAAAATATAAATTTGTTCCAGTCCTTTTGAAACAGTTTGTCACGCTGATTCCGGATCTTCCCCGTCAACTTGGCCATCTCTACATACTCCACCACCTTGACCTGCCAATCTTCCAGTGTTGGGAGTTCCTGCTGCTTCTGTTTCTGAGCCAGAAGTGTTCTCGCAGCCGTTGTGGCATACATAAACATGTTTACCTCTCTTTTATGTATTTCTTTTTTTTTTTTAATAATTTTTATTAAGGTTTTAGACAATAAAGAAAGAGGAAAAAAACATACACAATACATATAACAACAACACACACAAAAAGCAACACAAAATTCAACAATAAAAAAAACAAAAAACATAACAATTAAAAACAATATCTCTTTTCCATTTCCATTTTTAAATTACTTACTTTCTGGACTTCCTCATACCTCCCTCTTTTGTATTCCAATCCAAATTATTTGTCCAGCAGTTTCTTTTCCACTTTTTTAATCCCAAACTTTAATTTAATAAAATATTAAAATATATAACTTCAACTTCTTTAAACCTAATCCTTGGTCTTAGTATCATATAACATTAAAATTTTCCCTCTTAATATCAAATTTCCATTTCTTTAAACATCTTTAATCTTAATCTTTAATCTTAGTCTATCATTAACTTTAACCTGTACAGCTGGAAACCACTTATTTTCAATCCAACATCACTCTAACATTCTTTAATTTTGCAGTGTTTCTGAAGATAGTCTTTGAATTTCTTCCAATCTTCCTCCATCGACTCTTCTCCCTGGTCACAGATTCTACCAGTCATTTCCGCCAATTCCATATAGTCCATAAGTTTCATCTGCCATTCCTCCAGCGTGGGAAGTTCTTGTGTCTTCCAATACTTTGCGATAAGTATTCTTGCTGCTGTTGTTGCATACATAAAGAAAGTTCTATCCTTTTTTATCACCATTTGGCCGACCATGCCCAGGAGAAAGGCCTCTGGTTTCTTAGGGAAGGTATACTTAAATACCTTTTTTAATTCATTATATATCATTTCCCAGAAAGCCTTAATCTTGGGGCACGTCCACCAAAGGTGGAAAAATGTACCTTCAGTTTCTTTACATTTCCAACATTTGTTATCGGGCAAATGATAGATTTTTGCAAGCTTGACTGGGGTTATGTACCACCTGTATATCATTTTCATAATATTCTCTCTTAAGGCATTACATGCCATAAATTTCATACCTGTGGTCCATAACTGTTCCCAGTCAGCAAACATAATATTATGTCCAACGTCCTGTGCCCATTTAATCATAGCCGATTTAACCGTTTCATCCTGACTATTCCATTTCAGCAGCAAGTTATACATTCTTGACAAATTCTTAGTTTTGGGTTCTAACAATTCTGTTTCCAATTTGGATCTTTCCACCTGGAAGCCAATTTTCCTGTCCAATTTAAATGCCTCCATTATCTGATAATAATGAAGCCAGTCTCTCTTTTATGTATTTCTTCACCAATTAAACCTAATAAAAATGCCTCTGGTTTTTTATTGAACTTATATTTCAAAACCTTTTTTAACTCATTATATATTATATCCCAGAAGGCTTCCACTTTGGAGCAAGTCCACCACACGTGGAGGAAATTCTTCTCCTTACACTTCCAACATTTTTTGTCTTGATTTCTATACATTTTAGCAAGTTTGGCAGGTGTGATATACCATCGGTACATCATCTTAAATACATTTTCTTTGAGTGACACACATGCTGTAAATTTGATTTAGTCCACAGTTTTTCCCACCTTTCAGAATCAATCAGATCCTGGGCCCACCTAATCATAACGCTAGATACGCTATAGTTTCTTGGACTTTACTGAAGTTAACGTTTCCTCAGGTTTAGCAGGGCCCAGATTGAGAGTCCCATGAGTTCTCACAAACATGTTTTGCTCTGGCTCTGCAGCTGCCCATTGAGTCACACATCGATTCCAGGGAGTTGCAGAGGAGGTGGACCTTCTTAACCTTATAATTATCAAATCATGGTGATTTGTTTATCTAGTCCAGGGATTTCCCCAACGATGACCTTGGAGTCCACAAATAACAAAACATCAGAATCACAGGCAGCATCAGATAACTTATTGTCACAAGCCTGAATGAAGAACTGGGTCATAAATATCAGAAGCCTGGCCTGAGAGATTTGGGGCTGGCAGGGCTTGTTTCTATGGGAGGTTTCCTTTTTCTACCTTTGCTTCTGAAGCTACTGTATGAGTTCAGCTGTGTTTCTAATGTGACTGCTGCCACAAGAGTGTATGACTCTTGCAGGCATAACCAGGATGATATTTCTGCCGCTGCTGTTTCTGCTGCTAATGCCCCATGGAGCCAGTAGGATGCTGAAAGCAAAATGCCCATTGAACCGAAATATAGGAACTGATCCGTTGAATTATTACAGGCCAGGAGACCACCTCATTAGTCAGGTTATAGTTCCAAACGTTTATATAACTTACCCAATCAACTTTTCACGGCATCCCAAAAACACTGTTATGATGTAAGTGACTTGATGTTACCCAGTCTGCATTCACATTTATTGCTGTTTTCCAGAGGCAGCATCTAGTTTCTGGCCATGCCCCTTGGTATCCTGCAAACAAAGAGGTTGTTTCAGAACCCTTTCCCTATTTTGGGCTTCAGTTTCATTAATGCAGCTAAAGCATAGTTGATCATCTCATGTGTCATGAGAAAGGGTGTTTCTTCCTAGTCAAGTATTAACAGCTTTGACAGCTTTGACAGCTTCCCCTATTCCTTTTTCCCAACAAACTGTCTAAATTAAATGTCCCTGGTGGTGTTGGGTGTATTTGGATTACAACATATCTTAAATAAGTTCTAAATCCACGGTGCAGTCTTGCATTTGCGGATCAAAGAAAGTGTAAAAATCGGAATGTAAGGATACCACCACCTTCCCTTCAATCTCTCTGAAACGTTCAAATCAGTATAGGAACCTTACCAAGTAGTTCCACCACCCTCAGAAGTTAAGGTGGGAAGCCCAAGAGAGGACATTTCTCTCTTTCATATCTTCTCATCCTCTAAGTAGTTCCTGACAAAGATTCTGCTCCTTCCTAGCTGCAGAGTTTGCCCCAATAGATATAAAACCAGCAAGCTCCTCTTCTGTTCTTATAGAGCAAGGAATGTTACAAGTTGTTTTCATTTAATGGGGAATGGGAAGCTAAAACAATTTTTCGTGTATTCATTTATTTGCAGTTGGTCAGCATGGGACACCTCAGCATTCCTCTCCATCTTGTTTGCAACCCAAGAGATCACCCGGTATCTTAAGCATTTAGCCAATGTCACCCTGGGCTATAGTATCTATGAGGCTGCTTTTGATGTCAGGACAACTGCCGATGCCATGCTAGACAGTATTCCAAATTACAGCTGTGGAAGACAGAATAACGTGTTGGCTGTTTTTGAAGCAACTTCTGAAATCTCCCACCAAATTTCAAGCATGTTGGGCATCTACAAAATGCCCCAGGTAGGAATTGGAAGGGAACAGATCAATTGTGTTTCACTCCTCTTTGCTGTCTCTCCAGCAGTGGTGAGGAACTACTTCATCCTCCCAGAAGTTTCTTAACTGCAAAGCCAACCATCTGGCCGTTAGCCATGCTTGTGCGGACTGATGGAAGTTGAACAATATCCTCAGGGCCAAATTTTCCAGGGAACACAAAAGAGTAGCACCCAAAAAGAGAGACCAAAGGGGGGAAATCACATTGCAAGAAAGTGGAAAGCAAGTTAGAAAACCCTCAGCCACTTCCTAACTCCCTCCCCGGTTTGTCAATAGGAAGATGTGGTTGAAAGTAGCCCCTGGCCCCTAAAGGGTTCTTGTTTCTCAGGAAGACCAGTGGATGTCTGACAGCTAACTGAACACAGAAGTTTAAGTACTTGCACACCTCCATACTGAGCAGCTGCTTAGCCTCTGCCACTCATTCTGTGTAGTACCCCATTGTGACTCTAGGAAGAGGTAGGGGTGCCATGACCACAAAAGGCCCAGATGCCCTGCTCTGCCCCAGTGTCCATTGGAGCCACTTCCTTCTCAGTAAACTCCAGGTCCTCTTCTGAACACGATTCCTCCATCAAAGGCATGGCATACATCCAGAAGTATCTGGTTAGCTACTGTGAGAAGATGGGCCTTTTGCCTGGTCATGCAATGGGGCCTTTCTTGTGTATTCCTGAAACCCTGACACCATTCTTTTTCTTACTAGATCAGTTTTGGCTCTGCTGCTCAGGATCTGAATGACAAAACCCAGTTCCCTTTTATCTATCGTATGGTCCCCAAAGAAGAAATCCAGCACATGGGGATTGTCAAGTTGTTGCTCCATTTCGGGTGGACGTGGATCGGTCTCTTTGTTCCAGACAATGACAATGGAGAAAGGTTCCTGAGTGCTTTCACACCTCCGCTGATCCGCAGTGGAATTTGTGTTGCTTTCTTGGAAAAATTTCATATTTCGACCCTGGGACAAATGTCATCCTTACATTGTAAACCATCTGATTTGAGACAAGTCAAGGTGTTTGTTTATTATGGGGACTCTGAGCACAGAATTTATCCAATCGTACTGTTACAAAGAATTCATGAAGTGAGGAAATCTCAGGGGATAGTCTGGATCACAATAGATCTTCTGGACATTGATGAGATGTTGTTTGGTGGCAAAGATTACTTCCAGCCTGCCCATGGTTCTTTGTCCTTTGTAATGAATACCGAAAAAAGGACAGAACAGGGTTACTATACTCGACTTTCATTTGAAGCTAGAGCTGAAGCTGCACAGTTTTTCAAAAGAGTATTCAGTTGTACATGTTCAAACAATGTGCTGTCCGTGGAGGGCTGGACAAGATGCACAGAAATAGAACAACAAGAAAGTTTGTCCAAGGAGGAGATGGAGGCAATCTGGTCTGAAGACCGCTACAGCACTTACTACGGCGTCCAACTTGTGGCCCAGGCCTTAAATGTCGCATATTCCTCCAGATCCAAATGGATGTTAATGGCGAGTGGAGGAAACAGATTGGAACTTCAAAGGTTGCAGCCATGGCAGGTCTGTCCTCTATGCAAATACTCTATGGAATTCGTTTCAGATTGTATATTCTTTGTAGTTTACGTCATTGTTATTGTTAAATATGTTTAGGTTTCCTATGCACTGTATTTAGTAGGACATGTTAATATGTTTTTTTAAATTGTTCATCTATTTTTGTGGTCCTAAGATTGATTAAAATTATTTTTTAAAATAGATAATTTCGGAAAGTTAGGAGGAATCTTTCAAAGCACAAAATAAGCTTTGAAAAATTGTTAAGGAGCATTCTCTTACATAACGCTTAATTAATTAATTAATTACTCTATTTAGTTCATAACATTTATATACAGTATTGCTTGACTCCTGAAAAAAACCTCAAACCACTTTACAAAAAAGTTAAAATGAAAATAAATTCACTAAAGAAAACCTTTATTTAAAACACAGAAAGTTGAAATCACAATAGGATAGCTTAAAGCCAATTAAAAGGCATGTTAGCTTTCTACAGTTGCCAAGTGCTTGCTAGGATGTGTCCTCGATATGTGTTTATTTGAGTCATATGTCCTGTGAATTTATAATCTGATAAAGGACCAGTTGTAATGACCAAAAGGTTGTTATCTTTAGCTGACACGAGGCCTCAATGTCCTTGATTTAGGACCATTCTCTCAAAACTGGAAAGATGTCTGGAATCTTACTCAATTATCTAAGAAAAACAAGACTATGCCCCCCAAAATATCCAAAGTCATGCAAAGCTTTGCTCAATCATATACCCAGAAATATCCTGCAATTATTTTGTTTAAACATAATTTACTCTCATCTCTTATGGAGTTTGCACACAAGTCTGCTGTTTTCTCACAAAATCCGGATATCATGTTTTATAAAGCTGGTGTTTTCTCTGCCATTCTAGCTTCACACTTTCTTGAAAGAAATTTGGTTTTCCAATTCATCCATAGGAGGGATGTATTCTGATCAGAATGGGGAGCTGACTGCCAACTTTGATATCGTGAACTGGGTTGTATTTCCCAATAGATCTCACAGCAGAAAGAAAGTTGGGAGCATCGAGGGACAGGCATCCTCCGGCATAAAATTCTCCATTAAACCGGAAGCCATTATGTGGCCTGGGAACTTCAGCAAGGTCATTGCATTTATCTGTTTATTTATCGTACTTATATCCCACCTTTTCTCTATGGAGCTTCATGGCTACCTGGGAATTGAACCTTAGTCTCCTGGGTTCTCATCCAACTCTCTAACAACTATGGCACAACTGGCTCTGGTTCCCTTGCTGTGACATCTGTTAAGTTCTGATAATTTGCTGATAGGAGCCATTTTCAGTTTAACCCTAAGTGGGCCCTGTGCAGAGTGAGACCGGCTCCTGATTGTGTAAAGCACTGCTGTTTTCCCTCTCTATTTTTCCCTCTCTTTTTTGCATAGCAAATCAGATGGAGAGGGGCAAAGAGAGGAGAGGCTGCTCTTACACTTGCATTTTCATCTATCCCTCTGAGTGGATGAACAAGGACATCAATGGGCCAAATTTGGCAGAGTGGCCCTAGCTGCCATGTGGGCTTTTTCAGCTCCCCAGTAACAGCGACTGCTTATAAAAGCACAACAATACACACCATAGTATAGGGGTGCCATTCCTGTGGGTTGTCTTGGACACATCTAGGAATGGGCTGCAGAAATCGCACCCAGACACCTTTTTGCTGAAACAGCAACATGTCCTGGAAAACCTGTACATATGGCAAGCAGAATGATTTAAAAAATAATATGAGTAACAATTCAAAGAAAAGCCCAAAAACATTTAGAAAGGGAAAAAATAAAGCTCAACAAATTTGTCCAAAACATGGCAACCTTTTCACAGTGACAAAAAAGAACAATAAATCTCAAATGCAGTTTAAAAGGCCATAGTTTGTTTAATCCTTTGTGTTCAACAATATTTGTGTTCAACAATTAAAAATGAAATTTTATGTCAGAAAGGAAATGAGCTCTCCACAGTTCTACCAAATTTGAAAGGGTCTCATTCCCATTTTAAAGTTTTCTAACCTGGTCTCAGTATTATAAAAATGATTTTTATTTGAGCATATTTTTAGCCAGGGCCTTCAGATTATGTCTGTAATTTATGCTGGTCTCCTTTTGATGCTCTTTCTCCTTCTTTTTAGGTCGTGCCTCGTTCAAGATGCACCGAAAGCTGTCCCCCTGGATATGCCAGAGTTGCTAAAGAAGGAGAGCCCTTTTGCTGCTATGATTGTGCTCCTTGTGCGGAAGGGACCATCTCCGTTCAGGAAGGTGGGTGATTCCAGAAGAAAGGGAGAGGCAAGATTCCAGGGGGCTCCAGGGGGTCACCCAGGGTTCGTGCTCCTTTGGAGAATTGCAGATGCGGGGGAGACTGTCGTAGCTTTAAGAAATAGGATTTATTCACATATTTATACCTTCAGTCCGCATGGAGGAAGTCCAGATCTTAGAACATGATCAAGAGGGACTTGTTTGCCATAGCAGTACAGCTTACTTGAGTCGAAGAAATCTCTCCCAACCAATCTTCAGCCAGCCTAGCCAAAATGGGCACCTCCTTGTTCTCTGCCTTATTCTTCCCAGCACACCATGCTAAAGACTATATTTTCCTGACATCTCAAATGCACTTTCCATCACCATGGCAACCTCTGTCAGAAAACAGACAGGTATGGATGTAAGACTTTTGTTAGTAATTCTGAAGTCATTCTTCTCTTCAGATGCAAAGCATTGCACCAGATGCCCAGAAGATCAGCATGCAAATCAAGCGCGAAACAAATGTGTCCCAAAGACTATAACATTTCTCACTTATGAAGAACCTTTGGGGATTGTCCTGGTGTCCTTTGCCCTCTTCTTGTCCTTGACCACTGGCATTGTGAAAGGAATCTTCATTAAATACAAGGAAACTCCCATAGTCAAAGCTAACAATCGGGACTTATCCTATATCCTCCTTATCTCCCTCCTGCTTTCCTTTTTGTCCTCCTTCCTCTTCATCGGCCGGCCAAGCAAAGTGACCTGCCTTCTCCGACAAACAGCCTTCAGCATCATCTTCTCAGTTGCCGTCTCTTCTGTTTTGGCAAAAACCATCACTGTGGTGCTGGCCTTCCTGGCCACAAAGCCAGGGAACAAGGTGAGGAGATGGCTGGGGAAGAGTCTGGCCAACTCCATTGTCCTTTCCTGTTCCAGTATTCAGGTTGTCATCTGCACCATCTGGCTGGGAATCTCCCCACCCTTCCCAGACTCCGACATGCACTCCCAAGCTAGAGAGATCATCCTTCTCTGCAATGAGGGATCTGTTGCCATGTTCTACACTGTCCTTGGCTACATGGGCTTCCTGGCTGCCATCTGCTTCACTGTGGCTTTTCTAGCAAGAAAGCTTCCAGGGTCCTTCAATGAAGCCAAGCTGATCACCTTCAGCATGCTGGTCTTCTGCAGTGTTTGGGTGTCTTTTGTTCCCACCTACCTGAGCACCAAAGGGAAGTTCATGGTAGCTGTGCAGGTCTTCTCTATGTTGGCCTCCAGTGCTGGGCTTCTGGGCTGCATCTTCCTTCCCAAGTGCTACATTATCATCCTCAGGCCTGATCTGAACACAAAGGCACATCTAACTATAAAAAGTGAAGGTGGTAGTGTCTGATTCATAGCTTCTTTGAAGATTATTGGCTTCACATAAAATATGATGTTGTAAAGATGGACTCCACCCTGGTTGGTGGCAGGAGAATTACAAATGCTCCTAGGTCATAGAATCTATGTTCGCAAATGTTCTGCCATAATCCTCTCCATCATTTACACTTCCCAAACAACCACTACTAGCTATCACTTAGTAGTAGTAATCATAAACCAATAAGCTCATGTTGGAAAATTTCAGGAGGGATAAAGCCACCACATATTTCAAGACAGCCAGGCCTGTCCTTTTTCTTGAGGATGCATTGACAACTCTTGATTCCACCCACTCATACCCCCCTGACAAGCTTTAATACGTCAAGCAGGGCAACAGTTGGGAGATCACATGGATGGGACCACCTGAGGTCAAACTATTACCTTGACCTATTTCAATCTTGGTTCAGACCTTGTTATGCATGTAATCAAAGAAGCATAGATAAAAAATAAAATTGTGAAAGGAACTAGTAATGAATGATGAAAGTGAAGTGAAGAGGCACTGCAGTCATGTTTCTCTCTGATAGACTTCTTACTGAAGATGTCCATTTCACTGACCTGCACTGGGTAAGCTTATGGTATTTAATTTGTCCTTAATCTTCTAACATTCAGCAGCACTGGATGATCCAAAATTCAAGTATTATTCAGCGAGAGGAAGGAAAAAAATTGCCTATTTCCTCCACACCACGACATGTCTCACCTTATTTGCCTTCATCCCTCTTGACTTCTCTGCTGTTCCTTGAAGTTTTCTGAAATTGTTTCTTCCTCAGGCCTAGCAAGTCACAGACTGACAAGCCTATCAGCGAGTTCTTACAAACATGTTTTTCCCCAGTCCTGCCTCTGCCCCAAAGGCTTCAGGATGATTTGCAGATGTCAGGAATTGAACCCAGGACCTTCAGCATGTATATAGTCCATGTTCTGCTGTGCCCCTATATTATTGTTTCATCCATCTAATTCATTTTTGCTCTCTAGACAACTGTAACCTTTGGTAAAAGATACCATAGCCCCCATGTTTTACCTTTTCATCATCTGCCACGAATACCCAAATCATTAAGCCTGGGTCTGACTGTTAACTGTCTCTCACTTTACTGGTGTTTGAAGCTCATTCTGTTTGTGACATCATACACTGATGTCACAATGATACATCTGCATTCATCCAGGGTAACGTCACTGGCCAATTCACTCCTGCAACATCTGATGGACTTGTTACTGAAAATGTCCATTTCACTGACCAGAACTGGTGTAAATATATATTGTCTTAAAATGCTGACTGTGGTTCAAAGAGCAATAGAACCTCAACAGCTGAAAACTTCATTTGCTAGCAGTGAGAATCACTTCAGAAGGTTCCACATCTTCAAGAATCTACCCCTAACTCCACAAACGCCTGCACGGGAAAAAAACTTTTTCCTATCCATATTATCTACACCGTACTGGAGTTTATCAACCTCTATCATGTCCTGCCTTGCTTGTCTTGATCCATCATAGCTATTTTATAATTTCCTGGACTTTACTGAAGTTAATGTTTCCTCAAGTTTAACAGGACCCAGATTGACAGCACCATCTTTTGAGTTCTCACAAACATGCTTTACTCTGGCTCTGCAGCTGCCCATTGAGTCACACACCGATTCCAGGGAGTTGCAGAGGAGGTGGACATTCTTAACCCTATAATTATCAAAATCATAATTTTGATAATTTATTTAGTCCAAGGATTTCCCCAACAATGGCCTTTGAGTTCACAAATAACATAAACATCAGGATCACAGGCAGAATGAGGTAACTTCTTGTCACAAGCCTGCAAGAACTGGGTCATAAATATCGGAAGGCTTGTAGCCTTTCTAGGCCCTTTAACCATGGGTAGGAAAGTGTTGCGCCCGGGGAGAGACAAAAGAGTCAAACACCAAGGGGGTTAAATCCAGAGAAAGAGCTTTATTCTGCCATTCGGGGGGGGGGGGGAGCAGAGGCATCTGTGTAACTGAATTCACAAAAGACAGGCCGCTGAAAACATTTTACAGGCAGGTTTTTATCCCCCTTTTTTCCTCTCCCCCTTCATAGGTTTACATAGAAATGTTTCTCTTGTTCCCTGGCTCTGTTCCCGGAAGAGAGTTTGCAATAAGCTAAATGTGCTATTGCCAAGGTCAGCTAGCCAGAGAGCGAAGGCATTGTTTTAATTCAGCTACCTTTGTTGCATAGAAAGATGCTTAGATAAAAGCTTTTTCAGCCTTAGAGAAAATGAAAAGTGCAGTTTGAAAAGTGCTTGAGGTTTTGAGGCCTGGTTTGGGGAGGGGGGATTCACAAACAGTTTTTAGGGTAACCTAACTGACTGTCCCCCTGCAGGCTGACCTGAGAGATTTGGGGATGGCAGGGTTCATTTCTGTGGGAGGTTTCCTTTTTCTACCTTTGCTTCTGAAGCTACTGCAAAGGTCCAGCGGGGCTTCTAACGTGACTGCTGTCACAAGAGTGTATCACTCTTGCAGGCATAGCCAGGATATTGCTGCTGCGGCTGCTGTTTGTGCTTCTAATGGCCCATGGAGCCAGTAGGATGCTGAAAGCTAAATGCCCATTGAACCTAAATATGGAATCTGATCCGTTGAATTATTACAGGCCAGGAGACGACCTCATGAGTGGTGCCCCCCACCCCTAGTTCAGAAAGTCACTCCAGAAGGATACCATGGTTGATGGTATCAAAAGCCGCTGAGAGGTCAAGAAGAATCAACGGGGACATATTTCCCTTGTCTTTCTCTTGACAGAGGTCATCATACAGGGCGACCAAAGCAGTTTCTGTGTCAAAACCGGGCCTAAACCCCAATTGAAATGGATCCAGAAAATCAGTTTCGGGGCCACCAGGTGGCGCGTTGGAAGATGGCCGACAATAACATCTCTCTGACCCATACGAGGTACTAAGGGGCTGCTATGGGAAGTATGCAGCCTCCCTTTTGCTCCCCCAGGATGTGGGGGAGTGCTGTCCTGCCAGCGGTGTTCACAATGCACCCCCTGAAACGAGTGATGAGGGTGCTGAACACTTGGCGCAGACCCTCTGTGAAGTCAGCTCTTCCTGAAGCCGATTCCAATCAGCGCGTGCTGGTTGCTGCAGCTTGGAATTATAATTGGAAACATACGATTGGAAAGGAAGCTGAAAGCACATACATCAAGTAAAGCTCGACCGATAAGGCTGCTGATTTATGGATCTCTGCGACCAGGAGTGACGGACGGATAAGTAAATCTTCTGATGAACTACCATAAGGAGACTGTATGTTTGGAACGAAGGGGGGGGTGGAGGAAAAAACTCTCTTTTTTTCTGCATGATGTGACATTAATAACCCTTCACCCCAGAAAGAAATCAGATCGTCGCGTTTCTATGAACCACAGGCAGGATTTTAAGAACTATGTGGGAGGAAAGAAGACTGGAGAACGGTGAGAAAAGAGGAAATTTTTTATGACGCAGTTAAAAAATGGCGTCTCGCCAGGACAGGTCTGCCGGAGGAGGAAGGACTGGGGGAGGAGAATCAGGATTGTTTGATGAGAAGGAATGCTGGAATTGTAGTTTGACCTGACAGAACCCCCAGACTCATTCAATTTATTCGGTAAGCCTGAGAAAAATAAAGGACAGATCGGAGATTAATTTTGTTTATGGAAGCGTTGTACGGAGGCTGTCCCGGATCGATATGATTTTTGGAAGAGTATAAAACCCACATAGAATGCCAGCTTTCAACCTGCTAGTGAAAATCATCAGAGATCGCAAAGAAAGGAATTTATGATAACAACAAGAAGAGAAAGGAAGTAATAAAGCTCTATCCGGATCAAACTGGACAGAACTGTTTAATTAATGCAGTAAGAAAAGTGATGCTGTTTTGGACTCGAGCAGAGCTTGATGTATGGGTACCCCCAACAAAATTTAAAATTTGGCTGTTTAATTTGGAATCAATGTGATATGGATAATGTGATGTGATTGGCCTGTTAATAAAAATTATTTAAAAAAAGAAAAGAAAATCAGTTTCTTCCAAAAGAGCCTGGATCTTCTCCGCGACCACTCGCACCAGAACCTTGCCCAGGAAAGGGAGATTAGCACTTATCCACCACCCCCCTTGCTATTTATACTTCTGCATGTGTGGGGAAAGGACCACTGTCTCCCGTCTGCACTTACGGGTGAGAAGATTTCTCTCACAAAATGTCTTTCCCCAGCAGTAATGGGCAATGCAACCTAGTAAGAACGCTCAACATGTTAGACACAGTAGGGCAACAGAAAGATTTTCAAAACTTTATTGTGTCCCCTCAAATTTTTTTTGAAAAAGTTAAAAAGAGAAGTTTATCAATATATATACATATATGCATGCTTAATCATTATTGGCATTTTAATCCTGCTCCACAAGTAAGCTCCCAAGATTGACTCACAAATATCAAGGAGAAGACAGATCCTGCCCTCAGCTCACAATCAAAGAGACACAACACAAAAGTGGACTGGGAGGGAAAAGGGGAACAGTAAGTTCAGGCAACCATAATTAGACTCTCAGGAGAGCCATGTAGTTTCATCTCTCCATTACCCTGATGGAAACAACTGCTGAATAAATCCACTTATTAGGAATATCAAGTGCCGATAAACATAGCTTATTTGTGTTTCAAAGACCTGCTGGCTTCGGCGCCTAACAAGCTCCTCAGATGCATATTCCTGTGTTGCAGAAGTTTGGACTACACGATCCTCAAGGTCCCTTCCAACTCAACAATTTGACAATTCTATTGCAAGCAGTGGCAGGCTCATCAGAAGATCTTTGAGAAATGGAACGCCAGGTTCATGCAGCAGGGTCATTCGCAGACATCAGAACACCTGATGATTCTTCAGTCTCTTCACTTTCATGTTTGATAATTGCAGTGAGTAGCTTTGCCTAAAGCAACGCACCCCCAACCCTTTTGGGCTGCAATCCAATAGCCACTTACTTGGGAGGAGGCCCCACTAAGGGGAATTCTGAGTAGAGACGCTAGGATTGC